TCACAAAATCCTTGAGTTTTGCTTTAATTAATCATTCATTCATCGTCATTCAATGATTTGTCAAATATATTTAAGGCAAAATTCAGATGAGGCAGTAGTATCAGTATTAGTAGTAGTATTACCTTCCCACCAGTAGCTCAAAGATCAGGATGCCAAGGGACCAAAAGTCGACTGCAAAGTCATGTCCCTGGTTCTTGATGATCTCTGGAGCCATGTACTCAGGAGTGCCGACAAATGAATAGGTTTTCTCTCCACGCACCAACTCCTTGGCAAAACCAAAGTCCACCTGCACATCCATACACACACAGAGAAATACACACATGTCATATGCAGATCCTACACAGTCTCTATGTATAAAATAAACCCTGCTAAAATCCCAGTGATGGAAAAGCATAAAAAATAAATGTTCACATTCAGATGCATTATACCTTAATATTTGATTTGTACCTTAGAGCTCATAGATTGTAGAAGTAAATGAACACATTTCTTCTTTCACTCACTAGTTTGACGTAGCCTTTAATGTCCAGCATCAGGTTCTCAGGCTTCAGGTCTCTGTACATGATGTTCTTCTTGTGCAGGTAGGCATAGGCCTCCACCACGCAGGCAGTGCAGAACACAGTGACAGGCTCGTCGAAACGCCCTCTGAAATCACAGAAGCACTTTTTGAATTGCTTTCAAATGAAGTTATTACATCCTAACACCTTTTGTTGCAGCTATTTTCATTTGTCTGGGCAAGAGCTGCTGCTGGGAATTTAAGTTAATTTCATTGTTCCCACCACTGTATTATTACATCAGCGCAGGCTCTACAGTGAATGTTTTTCAATTTGTAATTTCATTAGAATTTAAGTGGCGATGTCAAGATACCACAAAGGTTATAAATGAAGTTTACGACCAGTGAAACCATTAAAATAAAACTGCCTTTCTCTCATAATATCCTATAATTTACAATGAGGAACGATTGTGTAACTGACAGCCAAATACTCTTTTAATCAGTTTCCTCACACTTCTTTGAGCTTGGTCCAGATCTCCCCTCCGCCACAGAACTCCATCACCATGTAGATGTATCGTGTGTTTTTGAAAGATGCGTGAAGCCTGCACACGCACAAAGAGAAAAAGAAAAGCATAATATAAACGACTCGCTGATAAGTTTCTGTGCAACGTTCATAAATGATCACAGTCGGTGGCAGATACCTGACGATGAAGTCACACTGGATGGCTTTCAGGATCTTCTTCTCAAACAACATGTGCTCCTCCTGTCTCTTGGCAACAATGTGCTTCTTGCTGACGCGCTTCATGGCGTAATATTTCCCATGATTCACTGTGGTCATCTTTGAATTATAAAAACAATCAGTTTATTGTATCCTAGGCTTTCGTACCAATATCACACAGAAATTTGAGATGTTTTTTCAGACTCTTGCTGTGGTATCAGTTTCCAGATGTTTTTTGCAGTTGGGAATTATTTTTTACAGGTTACAAGTCAGCTGATATATAAACTCAACTAGCACAGGTACATTTTTCTAAATATCATCATATTATATAACTTTAAATGTTCAGGAACAACCGGATAGTTTAACCAAGTCACTGTCAGCTTATAATTAATTTGAACTGGGTCAACAGGGTCAGTCATTTGTAGACTGTAGCTTTGTTGGGGACTGTATGCAAATTATACAGGAGGGGGAGAGAGGTCAGTTTTTTTGTTATTAATTCTTCCCTTTTTGTAATAAAATCTTTCAAGGAAATTAAATACAGTTTATTTAACAGTACTTTTCTCAAAAGTAGAAAGTAGCTGGATTATTCTTATATTTCCATGA